AGGCTCTTCCTTCCTCCCCTTCTTGAAAATAGGGACCACATTGGCCCTTTTCCAGTCCTCAGGGACTTGGCCTGAGCACCAGGGGTCCTCAAACAGCCGTGCCAATGGCTTCACAATGACACCAGCCAAGTCCCTCAGCAACTGCGGATGAAGGTCATCCGGGCCCGCCGACTTGGAGTGTGAGCATCTTGCTTGCTAAGCTCTGTAGTGATGCCTTTACCTTCCTGAGGGGGACTTAACTGGGTCAAACTGGTTTATGCAATGTCTGTCCCAGACCTCTTGTTGGTTTAAGATAAACCAGACTCCCCCAGCATCCCGGCATGCTCTCAGGGCTCCACAGCAGGGCTGGCCCCTCCCCTCTGCTCCCTTGCTGCAGCTCCAGCACTGATTGCGGGCTACTCCCCATCCCAAACACCATTCCCTGCCAAGCAGGAAATTGCCCCTCCCCTCTGCCTTGTGGAGAGGTATCTGTGTATTAGCTAGCAGACCACATGCTGGCTATGGCCCATACTGAATCAACAGGTAGCTGGTAATGTCCCTCTGTTGTTTTCTTAATGGGGTGATAAACACTGAGTTTGGGGTAATAATAACACTGTTATCAGTTCCCTGCTAGGCTAATCAGAGCTATGCCCCCCCCCGCCTCAGTTCAGTACTGTACAAGGGAAGGGAGGGCTGCTCTAGAGTCCCCTGTCTTTTAGCTTGAATCACTGCAGGTATGTGCTTGCATTTCTGAGATGTCTGTTTGGTTTTGAACTGGTTTAGCCTAGCCAGGTTAGACTAACCTGAAAAGATTGAATCAATTCAGGCTCAGGCTCTTTGAATGTCTGTCCCTAGCCCTGCAGACTAGATAAGCCCAGTTCCCTAAGCTTCTCCTCATAAGTCATGTACCCCAAACTCCTTAACTGTTTTTGTTGCCCTTGGCTGGGCTCCATCCAACTTGTCCACATCCTTTCTGTAGTGGGAGGGGAGGAGGTCCAAAACTGGACACGGTACTTCAGATGTATCCTCACCAGTTCAGAATAGGGGGAATAACTACTTCCCTCTATCTGCTGGCAATGATCCTGCAGCCCAGTATGCTGTTACCCTGCTTGGCAACAAGGGCACACTGTTGAATCACATCCAGCTTATTGTCCACTGTAACTCCCAGGTCCTTTTCTGCAGAGCTGCTGCTTATCTAGTCAGCCCCAAGCCTGTAGTGCTGCATGGGATACTTCTGGCCTAAATGTAGGACTTTGAACTTGTCCTTGTTGAATCTCATGAGCTTTCCTTTGGGCCAGTCCTCCAATTTATTGAGGTCTCTCTGAATCCTAGCCCTACTTTCCAGCATATCTACTCCTCCCCCCAGCTTGGTGTCATCTGCAAACTTGCTGAGGTTCAGTCCATCGCATCTAGATTGTTAATGAAGATATTAAACAAAACTGGCCTGAGAACCAATCCCTGGGGCATTCCATTTGATACCAGCCTCACTT